AGTGATTCATGTTCAATAAATGCTGACAACTTAATGTTGGAACAAAACGTTTTAAAGTAAACAAAATCAGATATTAATAAGGCGTAACGTCGCCTTTTGCCCGAATAACTGCCTGAACTCTATCAGGCATCGTATTCACAAGGCTTGCACAGAGTTCAGGTGTAAAATTATCCCAAATTTCTTGTAATTTGGTACGCAATTGTGGTATGGTTCGTTGAGGACTATTTCTCAGATGTTGCTTCATCTTGTGCCACAGTGTCTCTATCGGATTAAGATCCGGGCTGCTGGAAGGATGTGACAAAACCTTAATATTATTTTCCCCAAACCATTTTTTTGTAGATTTTGCAGTATGGCATGAGGCACCGTCTTGCTGAAATATAAAATCCCCATTGGGATATAAGTTTGCAGCACTTGGTAAAAACGAGCTGGTTAGAATGTCCTGATATTTAACTGCGTTAACAGTCCCTTCAATAAAGTGCAATGTGCCCAATCCTTTCGCCGACATACATCCCCACACCATAATGCCTTGTGGAAACTTGACTGTTCTTTTGAGACAATCCTTATGGAAGGCTTCTGTCTTGTCTCGAATGATGCGTTTTCGGTAGTCTCCCACACAAACATCAAATTTACTTTCGTCACTGTAAATGACTTTACTCCAGTCATTTTTAGACCACGACAGCTTAGATTTAGCCCAATTGTAGCGATTTTTTTTTTGAACTTCCGTCAATAATGGTTTTTCTTTAGCCTGTAAATTTATATAAATAAAATTTGCACGATAAATAAATATTAACTATACTTTATAAAAGCTGAGACCACCTTGGTGGATATATTTACGGCAGCATTCTCGGGAAAGGTTCATTCCAGACTCTCTATTCCACCTTGCAGTCACTTCCCGCAGCTTGTTTCTTCTTCCTGACTTGCAAATTTGAATCAAATGCCTTGCGCTTCTTTGAGAAACAATTTTGGGACGACCTGAACTTTTACCACGAATATTAATATTCCCGGTTTCACCATATTTTTTAAGGATATTAAACACAGTTGTCGTTGCTATCGCAAATTCAGTAGAAATTTCACGCATTGTTTTGCCTTTATGGTACTGACTGATAATAATTTCGCGTACTTTTCGATCGGTAGGCTTCCCGCGTGTCATTATTGCTATTTAATTGAGCAAAAATTGAAATTGACAGTATTTAAATTGTTGAATTGATAAAAGCTTCGTGGTCATAGCAACCATATTTTGTTTCAAAGCCATTGAGATAAAAGTGAAGAAACTATAGAGAAGAGAGAATATGTGTTCCAACAATTAGTTGCCAGCGATTTTTGAACAAGAAACAGTTAAATAAATTTTAACAAAAAAATATTAGGAATTTTACCGCAAAAATATTATAAAATGACATATAAAATGTTGCCAATTCTAATTATTCAATTAAAAAAAATTAAAATCAAATTGATTTAATAAACTAGCATTTTATTTGCAAAATAAATACTTGTTCCAACATATAGTTGTTAGGGCTCGTATGTATTAAGACTAGGAAGCTTAATTTTTAAGCATTATGAAAAATAGTAAAAACAAAACCTTTTTGGACATGGGTCATTGTGAATGTCCATTTTAATAAAAGAACCAAAAAAGATTGTAAAAGTTAATATAAAATAAATATTAGATAGTTATTGTTACGTGACTCGAAATATTTTTTTACCAAAATAAAAATCGTTGAATTTATAGTTTGGATAATTAAATTCTTAAAAAAAAACATCTAAACTTTTAATAACTTGGCTACAAAGCCATATTCTTACACTTATTTGGTAATTTTATTATTATTCTTTTATTAATATTTTTCTTACAACATTGTCACATTGTTTTTAATTCTTTTCATTATAAACATTATTTATAATAATAGTAAATATAATTTATTAAGGTTTATAAACGCTAATTTAGTTATTAGTTTAATTAGGAAGAGATTGTCTAGAGAAGTGTCACCCTGATTTAATCTCACTTTTTCTTAGTTAATAATAAAACTTCAGCTCTGGACTAAAAAATACAAAAGCCACTGTCAACCCGTGACTAAAACGCCTCCAAGTTACAGCTCCCTAACGTAGAAGTAGATAATACTTTCTGGCGTTTTAGTCACAGGTTGATGTTAGCAACAGAGGCTTGTGTTTTTTAGTCACGTAGTGAAGTTGGCTTTATAATAAATTGGAAAACTTGAGATTAAATCCAGGTTGCAGTTGTCAGATGTCAAATGTTTAACAAATAAAATTGGCTTTAAATTCTTTTTTGTACTCGTCCTGGATAAAGTATAGTATGTAACTCTTTATAAACTTCTTTAGACAATCGTTTTTATTTAACACTCGTTCGCAATCTTCGCTCGTGCCTAATTAAACTCGTAACTAAAATTGATACATAATATTAATATTAATAAGCTAAATTTTTGATTTTAAAGTTTTCCATATTTTATTATTTAATATTTTACAAATTCAGAGGAGCCTATAGGCTATGTAATTATAATCTATTAGGAATATTCATTATTAATTTTATTATTGTGAATGATATAACAAAATTAAAACAGAAATTTAAAAAACATTAGACAGCTAAACAATATTGGAAATCTTTCTACGACCCTAAAATTATTCCTTAAACAAAGTATACTTGCCTATAGGCATAGTTTAAATTGTTTTTTTATCGACAAATTGCGTTGGCTATTAAGATAAAATGTGAAATTTGAAAAATTGTAGGCACGAGCGAGCTTGCAAGCGAGTTCTTAAATTAATGAGTGAATAGAAAAGTTTATAAACGAGGTGCATACTATACTTTTTCTACGACAAATACTTATTATTATCTTAAAATGATTTAAATCAAAAATTTGTATAGAGCGTTATCTATGAAACAATATCTGTGTGTCACCGTCATGAAGGTTATAAATCGAAATGTATTTCTTGAAAATTGATTGCACTTTACAGTTGGGTCCGTGCCCAAATTTAAGTTATAGTTTACTGCCGGCAAAATTAAAAGGTCAGTACAATGTTCATATAATCTTTTCAAATATTGGCGTTGAGAAACTATTTAATACTTTTGTATTTTTTTATTGAGATAATAAAATAATTTTCACATTTAGTATTATTTTACAAGAAAGGCAATTTATTTTAACGATTGTATAACATTTGACAACTGTCAACTAACTTAAAACGAACTTCAGCCCGTGACTAAAAACATGTTGCTAACTTCAGCCCGTGACTAAAGCGCCATAAGGCCAAAACTTGTCAATGTGTATTTAAAAGGTCACTTAGTGTCATGGAAACATGTACGATAAAGGGCGTTTTAAAGGTGGGAGTAGAAAAATATTTTTAAAGTTTTTTGAAAAAAACAAAAAACCGGTAAAATCAAAAATCGTTATAACTTCGCATTCCTGGAAATTAAAAAAAAAAGTTAGTTTTACAGTGAACCTACACATTAATCCACATTTTTATCTAATTTCTTCGCTACTATATTTTGATTTACCATTGCCAACTTATGAAGTAAGTTTATATATGAGTACATTAGATGCAAAACTCTGTATTTGCAGGATAAGTGATTTTAAGAAAAACACGGAAAACCGCTCATAAGGTCATATTTGAAGAAAAAAATACAAAAATCGTATAGACGTGCTTTTGCATCATTTCTTATTCAAAAAAGTAAAAAAAAGTCCTTTAATATTAAGTAGTTTAGTAAATATTTGAAATCAAAAGATTTAAAAACATAGTTTTGCATCTTCCTCGTTCAAAGACCAAGTTTTGCAAGTGAAAAGTGCAAATACCAAAAAAATAACAATTAATCAGGTGATTGTTATGCCGTCAGTTAATGCGTATACTAGCGACGTGATTGGTGATTGGTCAAATACCGAGTTTTGCATCCGACAAATACCCAGTTTTGCAGCTGCGGTAAGTTTATAAATGTATTTTATTCTACAAATATTAACTTATGCATCTGGTTTACTTAGTTATGCTGTGGGCAGTGCAGTTATGAACATAAATAAGATAAAATATATATTTTTTTAAAATGTGCAAAAACCGAGTTTTGCATCTAATGTACTTTAGTTTTTCCATTAAAATTTTAATGATTATATTATAATCATTAAAATTTTAATGGAAAAACTAAAGGAGGTGGTGATTACTCAAAATCTAGTAGGCGAAAAAAATTACAAATTGGATAAAATATAGATAAATGTGTATGTTTACATGTCAAACTTACTTTTTTCAGTATTTCCAGGAATAACGAAATTATAAGGATTTTTGATTATGACAGTTTTTCAGTTTCAATCAAATTACTTTAGAACCGCAATTTTTGTGTTCAATCTTTAAATGGCATTTTAATAGATTCGTAGACGAATTTTACTAACCTTCAAATAAAAAAATACCCAAACATAGGAGGATACTTTGGTTCATCCTGTATATAAAAATATGGCATATGTGGAAAATATATTAATTAGTTTGAACGTGTAATGTTTTTAAGATAAAAGATCTTAAATACAATTGTACAGACAACTGAAAGGAGGCAAACAATTAAGACCAAAAAAGGTTACCTTTTGTTCATACCATATTTAATTTCAGCTTACCTACAAATTGTAGGCTACAATGTAAACTATATAACGAATAATAAATAACAGAAATTACCGATGTTCGGTAAGCAATAGAAAGTATATCAAGGCAACTTATACAAATCCTTAGATCAGACAAGATCATAATAATTTAACTGTTTAAGTGATGAACCATTAAAACCAATACCGCTTCGAAGTTTCGTAATCGTTCAAAGTTAATCCCATTCTTGACACTGGCGCACGAAATCAAAATAAAACTGAAGGTTGTTTCTTCAGCGTAAAAGAAAGAAATTGGGGAAACGCGCTCGACTTGGTGGTGTGGGAGAAAAATGGAGTAAAAGTCCTACTCGATATAGATTAACACAATAGATTGCCAAATATTGCGAATCATATATAAACCGAATTATTTTTTCTGGAATTCAGTCTACTGCCTCAGGTCTTTCAGTGTAGATTAGATTTTAACATTTGTGCTGTGCCCTATTTTACCATTATTGGATTATTTACTAAAATGATGAAAACAGTGAGTATCGTTTGGGTGGAAAAAAATTAACTGAAGTTTATTGTGTTTATATGGCCAAATATCGATTTTACGTTAATATTGCATTTCGAATCGTTTGCCAAAGATTAAATATTTATTTTTTTATATTTAAATATTGATTCATGCGTTTTTTATGCCAGTAAGATAATTTAAAATATAGAAGATACAAATTATTAACCGTATAACTATAGTTATTAATATCCGACAAAAAATTAGGTAAGATATTTAATATCATTAGCAAAAGTTGTTTCCAAATTAAAGATTAATAAAGGTCTTATTCTTATTCTTTATATAAATTAACTATAATTATAAAAAAATACTTATTATTAAGGCATATTATTATTAAAAATTTGTGTAACAATTCGGTAAAGAAAATTTTTATTAACATAATAATTTTTACTAAATTTTTATTTTTTTGTTATAAGTATTCAATATTTGTAATAATTTATTTCACCGATACTAAAAATCTTTAAATGTAAGGGGCCTAAACATTGTAAACTACATTTCACTATATATAAAAAAATTAAAAAGTATTAGTAAAAAAATTGTATGATTTTTATTCTCATAAGATAATTTTTTTGCAAATTTGTTAAAAATCATGTTTTTTTTTAAATATTTGTGAAAAAAATATTTTAGCCATACATTTTTTAATAAGAAAGAATAAACAATATTTAAAATTTGAATTCATAAGGGAAGTACAATTTAATTATATATAAACTTGTTTTGTTGTTTTTATTGCACCCCACTAACATTATATGACAATGTATTATTTTAAATTAAAATTATTTTTAACGATAACAAAAATATACATAATAATAGGTAATCAAAATAAAACAACTTTGACATTTTTGTTAATATGGTGTAAAATGCCCCATTTATTATACAGTGTGTTTCATTTTGATTGACGACCATTAGGAATTTATTTAAAAATTATCCGATTTAAAAACAAATTGTCTTATTTGAAAAGCTCTGTCTTTAAAAAAAAAATGTCATATGTCATTACCATGGCTTTCTATGATTAATAGAAGAGCTCCAAAAACTTTAAAAGTTATTAGGCATTTTTTAAATTTAAAATGGATAGCTTTTTATAAATTTGGCATACCTAAAAACGTCAAAAAGTAAGGTCAAATTTTAAAGAAAAAAACAATTTTGCAAAAAAATTATGTAATTTCTTCACAACAGGAACTTTATATTCTCTTAGTTTTGTTACTTTAGCTTATAAAGAGTGTTCACAAATTGTGGTCAAAAATTATAAAAAATAATATTATTTTAAATAGAAATATTAATTTAACTAAAGGCATAATATTAATGAATGAACTATACACAAATGTGTACTGGTACAGTTAATTTTTTTTATCAGGACTCGTGTTTTTTTGTTAGGTTGGTGGCTTATGCCAGTTTGACTTAGTATTTTTAGTATTTAAAAATGGTACTTCTGCTAAAGAATTTAATTAAATACTTTGACAATAATATTTATTATTGATAATTTACTTGTCAATTATAGATAAAAAGATAATTATGCCAAAAATAATAGCAACGAATTCGAATATAAAAGCCCTTTTGAGGGCAAAACTTCATTTTGATGAAATTATGCCAAATGCCACAATGGAAGAAAAACTACATCGCCTTATGGACATTTTTGGAGTAAAAAAGTAACGAATTTGGTTTTATAAATATTACATCATACATTATTTTCACATTATTCACCATTGGACAACATTTACGTTCACAAAAAATTTTTTTCAAAGCGAAGATTATTATCCGCTAGGAATACTTTCTCTTCTGGGCCGTAAACCAACCTATATTTAACTACTTTTTTTATATGATTTTACTTATCCAAGCACCACCAAAGCCAAATTAATTGCATTTTTAACTACGAATTTCGACAACTCAACTGCACAATGTAACCTACAATAATTTATACTTAAACACAATTAGATTTATAACTAGCTTAGTTTGTTTTAATCAATGCGACCAACTTGACAACTGTATTTACCAACCAAAACCCTAAATTTGCAACGTTGCCCCTATCTAGATAAAAAAATGAAGATTACTTTTAAATATTTTATTCATTAATATTTTGGCTGTAATTAGATTAATATTAGGTACTATTTAAAATATCATTATTTTTAACAAAATTAAGCGAAATTGTAGTGTGATAGGTACCTAAATAAATGATAGAATGTTTTTGGAAAATCTGCTAGAATATACAGTGTTTAAAAGTATGTTTTGGTTTTTCTCCAGATTTGACCTTATTTTTGACCATCCTGTATAACATTTTATTACAAAAATATTAGGAGTTTTTGGGTATGCCAAATTCAAAAAGAGGGCCATGGAATTGACATTAAAATTTTTTTATACAAAATGAAACACCGTATCTACATTGTTACAAATATCGTGTTGATTTAAAATTTATGTTTATCACCTAATTAGGTGCCTAATTATACAGAAAAATATTAATTTTTTCTAATTAATATTAAAATCTCAGAACACTATGAAATCAATACTTGCATATCACACGTAAACTTGTAAAAAGTAAAAGTGGACGTTTTTTAGCATGATAAAAAATTAATAATATTTTATTAAATTTTATAAACTCTTTTATTTACTCCTAGATTGACAAGCTGACGGGCTGAAGTTAGAAACAGTGGCTTTAAAGCTTTTTAGTCAGGGGCTGAAGTTAGCTTTATTATATATTGGGAAAAAGTGAGGTTAAATTCGGGTAACAGTTGACAAATGTCAAATTATTAACAAATAAAATCGGATTTAAATTCTGTTTTGTGTTCGTCGAAGATAAATAATAGTATGCGACTCGTTTATAAACTTCTCTATACACTTGTTTTTATTAAACACTCGCTCGCAAGCTTCGCTCGTGCTTAAATAAACTCGTTACTAAAATGGCGTTTATAAAATTTGATACATAATAAACTATTAACGTATGAAAACTACCACATTTTGTTGCCTTATAATAGACCGTCTATTTACCAAATTACTGTCTGTCCACTCTAAGTTGGCTGAACTAAGGAATTTTGTTGTTTAGATATTAATGAATTGTCGTACTGTGTGCTTTTAAAACAGATTTTATATTATAAATAATACTAGTATATAATATGTACTAGTATTATTTATAATATAAAATCTGTTTTAAAAGCACACAGTACGACAATTCTTTAATATCTAAACTACAAAATTCCTTAGTTCCGCCAACTTAGAGTGGACAGACAGTATCTGATTGTTAAAGAACTAGAATTAAATTATTTTACTTTTTAAAGGCAATTATTGGTTTCGTGCTCGCTTTGGTAGCTGTGTGTAGATGCGAACCACCTACGAGTTATGGTACTCCACTTGCACCACCCATAAACAGCTATGGAGCACCAGCTGGCAATGGAAACAACCATGGTGGCAATGACGACCATTATGATCACGGAGAAGTAAGTTTCATTATTACCTTATTACCTTAACCACAAATATTTAAATTAGTTATTTTAAACATTCCAAAAAAACCCTTACTACATATAATTACTAAATACGTAATGCTATTTCTGGAATTTAAAATTCTAATTCAACAGATGATTGGCTATTTAAAGGTGAATGGATTAGGACATGTTAATATGGTTCAAAACGTGATGTTAGACAAGTAATTTGTTTATGGTTCACTTAATTTAAATAGCCGTAAACTATAAACTACTATTACTAATTGTAACTTAACATTTGGTAGTAATTGCATTTAAAAATATACCATGCTATACATTTTTAATCTAAAAACACCTTTAACTTAACATTTTGATAGCACTGAACAATTGAAATAATTGCTTGTTAAAATATACCTTGCTGCAATGTTTAATTTAATTTAATTTAATTAATTTTTTATTGCTTGTATATTTTTAAATATATACACTTATACTATACTATATATATAATGATACTTATATCTACCAGGTAGATTCTACCTATATGTATACATAAAGTTTATAAAACCAAATATTTTTTATTAGTATTAAGATACAATTATACAATTTTTACTATTATGTCACAGCACTTAAAATTGTTAAACTCCTACAAAAATTAAAAAAAAATTACTGTGTAGTCCTACAATATAGAAGTTAAACATCTCTGCAGTATTCACAATTATACCAGAAGAGGGGTTAGGAAATTGGTCGAAGTTAAAATATCTTATCTCTCTTAAAGCATACACTATCAATTGAATACTTAATTTTAATTTATCATCATCCTGTACTTTCGTCATATTCTCACTAAACTTTGAATGAACATTTTTATTTTTTAAACTGTCTAAATATCTAACAACCTCTGCATCTATTGTACTACTAGATTTCGTTTACGATAAATATACATTTTTAAGTTAAATTCAAGATTTAAAAAATCAACGGTTGTGCTTCCTCTAGTACAAAATTAACAATAAAATCTTAGATAATATAATTTATTAATAAAGAGATTTCTCAACTGCCTATCACAAGATATTAATTTGTTAGGATACAATTTATTAATAAAGAGATTTCTCAACTGCCTATCCTAACAAATTAATTTTTTGTGATGGTTAATTCGCAAAATAAATAATAAAATTTTAATATTTTTATATGTATAAAGACATTTTCTTTATAGTGAACAATTTAATTGGATGAATTGGATGTACAAAAATACTTTAAGGACCAATGTTTGGACACTGGCATTTCCGTTAATACTGCCTACTCTCTAAAAATGAATTAGACAAAAATGACTAATTTAATAGTTAGTGGCTGCTTTTTCACTTGTGCCATGGTTAACCATAGAATACCATGGTATCCCAAAATTTAACAGCCAATTTATATGTAAAATTGTCCCCTGAATCCGAAAATACAGTAAAAAATTATGAAAGTGGGGCAGTTTTTAAGATATAGTCAATTCCATATTAAATGGAAAATTGACTATATCTCAAAAACTGTTCTACTTCTTTAACTTTTGACTACATAAGAATTGGCTGTTAAATTTTGGGATACCATGGTATTTCATGGTTAACCATGGTACAAGTGAAAAAGCAGCCACTAATAACTTTTAAATTAGTCATTTTTGACTAATTAATTTTTAGAGGGTATATAACTAGCAATATGAAGGTAGATTTCAAGGAAAGTTTTATTTTGAAGAATCGCCAAAAAAATAATATTTTGAGGATAATGACGTAAATAGCCATATGCATTTTTTCAGAAATCGACCAAATTGCGGATTGCAATTTTTATAAAAAAAATATGGGCAAATTATTTCACTTCAAATCTAATCTATCTAATCTAATTAATTAATACTCTATATTGCTTACATTATTATTTTTATTACCGAACACATGCAATATACGTTTAATTACATTTCAATCCTAATTAATGTAACTATTTTATAACATCTTCAATAAATTATTTAAGATCGCATATCTTCTTAATTTGCAAAAAAAATCTTAAAACACTGAGTTTCAAACGTTTACACAATTCATCCAATTATTCCGGAAAGCGCAATAATAAATACTTACTACTACAATTGTTAGTTTTGTAACCGTAATAGTTTGTTTCTAACGCTGCATACATTCTAAAAAATAGTGGTGTAACTAGACCACTGCACATCTAAGAAGATTATGAAGGTCTGAACATATAAAATTAAATAATACTTAGTAGTACCTACCTAAAAATAGATTACCTAAATAGGGTTTAATTGGTTGATGCTAAAAATACTTCACGGTTATTATAAAATATATAAACGTAAATATTTTTACAGATTGCACATTTTAAATCTCAGACTTAGCTCACAACTGTGATTATTTGTTTGTAGCGTAATTATCCAGTCTTACTGAACACTACAAAAATCGTTTGAATAATATTATAATTAATATTATTTAGTTTTTAAAATTTCTAAAAAGTAATATTACCTGCCTGCTATAAAGGCTATAATTTTGTGTGTATTTAATTACTTCATATCATTATTATTAGTAGGTATACAAATTCATAGTATTTAATTAAAATTTACATGTGAAAATACAGAAGAATCTTTTTGGTTACATATTATAATAATACTTTATTAATAATAATACTTTATTGCCCAACAGATTTACATCCAATTAAAGGACAAAATTATACAATATACAATAAGTTTATATGCACATAAAATAAAACAACATTTACACATTAATGATATTTTTGAAAAAGTAATCAGCTTCTTTTAATAAGAAAGTTAGCGAAGAACAAAACATTAGTACGGGCATTATCTTTCCTAAAAGTTAATTTAGTCCTAGAGTTTAAATGGGGAATATACAGATTAAACATAGATAATAACAGTCGATATTATTATGAAACAAGTCATTCACAAATTTTATGCTAAACTTAACTCTACGCAATTCAAGTTGTAACCTTACGGTTTGGATTCCATTGAAAAGGCCCGAAGTAATTCAGCCTGAGGATGACCTCTGATTAGTGTTGTAAAAAAAACGTTTTTTTTTTCAGTTGAAAAAAAACACGTGAAAAAAAACATGTTTTTTTTCACTGAAAAAAAACAAAAGTTGTTTTTTTTCATCCCCATGGTAAAAGGGCGCCTCGCTGTCGGCAATGCTGACTTAGCATATCGTATAGTCTATACGGTATTATAATAGAAGAGTTAAGACCTGCGGCTTTATAGGTTGATGCATAGTTGGTAGAAATGCCGAAAAGAGAAGGCTCAGGGCGAAAGCCAACAACGTTAAACAATTTGTTTAAGAATATTACTAATGGTAAGTAAGAAACTATAATTAGTATTTTATATTCTTCTAGTGACAGAATGTGCCAAAAATTCTTTCCTCAGCAGTGACATTTCGAAAATCCTGTCACTTAATATAATTTGAGTATTTTTGACCATATTTTTGAAAAAAACATTTTTTTTGAAAAAAAACATTTTTTTTGAAAAAAAACAAGGTCCTCTGTTTTTTTTCAAAAAAAAAACATTTTTTTTTGAAAAAAAACAAGACTGTTTTTTTTCAGTGACAACACTACCTCTGATAGGATAAAAAACATGAATTCTAAAGTTTACAAATTTCAGGAATCGTCTTTGAATATTTTCCAACGAAACTTTGTAGGTTGTGTAAATTGGGTACCAAATCAAGCTGCAATATTCGAACCTTGAACGAACAAACGAATAATACAAATTTTTTAATGCGTTTATATCATTGAATGTATCAGAATTCCTTATAATAAATCCCAACATTTTTAGGGAAGAACTAGTTATATTACTTATATGCCTATCAAAAGTTAATTTATAATCAAATAAAACACCCAGATCTTTGACAGTATCAGAACGTTCTAGTAAAGAGTTATTAAACATATAATTAAATGTTAACGGATTATGGCCTTTGTAATATGACATAACTTTACACTTAGAGGCATTCATATACAATTTATTGGCATGACACCATTGGTTAATTTTGTTTAGATTATTTTGAATCATACTACAGCTCTCAGCACTAAGAATAGTACAGTCTCGTAAAACCGTCACACTCGCCTTCGGCTCGTGTGTCAAATTTTTCCTCGAGCGGAATATGCTGTATTCCAAACTTGTTACAGACATTATTTTCTCTACGACTACGTAAGAATAGTAACGCTTATATAATTTTAAACAGAGAAAAGAAACCAAGCAGTTTTTGACATTTAAGTTTTTTGTATTGTCAAACCATTTTCACAATTTTATAATGTAAATTATAATTAATTTAAACAAATGGTATGCCTAAATCTTTAATATAATTAAAAATAGTTATTTACACTAACTAATAAAAAAAATAACATTGTAACAAATACAAAACTAATTTTACAAGTAATCTATGTCAACATCTATTCTTTTTCTACATTTTAAAGGTCTTTTTTTAAACTTTTTGAATCTGTCAAAACTTCAAAGCCGGTTTAGTAGGTAACTGGTTTATCATTTTAATATCAAATTTATTATAATTTTGATTTGTATATTTGAAAAACAATAAATATAACTAATTTTTTGTGCCTAAACCTTAATTATACAACTGCTATTATTTTTTAATTAATAAATAATACAGTAATATTTAAATATTTTTAAATTTTTTACGTTTAGTAAACAGCCAGAAGATGTCGTTACTTGTGACCATTCTTAAACAAGAGTAAACAGTATTGCAGAAAAACATCCTTTCTATGATCAAAAATTACACTAGAATATTACTATTCTTAGGTAGTCGTAGAGAAATATTTTTAAGTCATCTGCGAACATAAGTTTTCCACAGTCAAGGTCTTGAACAATATCATTAATAAAAATGAGAAAAAGCAGAGTGCCTAAATTTGAGCCTTGCGGGACTCCAGATTTACAAATAAATGGCAATGAGTTAAACCCATTATAAGAGACAAATTGAGTTCTATTAGTGAGATAAGAAGCAAAGAACTGAGTTAATGAATTGTCAAAGCCAATAGTATTAAGTTTGCTTGCAATAAGCGAATGACTAATCCTGTCAAAGGCCTGGAATATTTTATTTTAATATCATTGGAAAAAGCATACTTTTTAAATTATGGTTATTTAACAATACCATAAATAAATGCTTTAGATTTTGGATGGTATTTTAATTCTTCTTTATTTTTTAGCCAAAAGCCTACGAATTTGGATACCAAGTAAAAGACGACTACTCTGGCAACAACTACAACAGACAAGAATCCAGTGATGGAAACCAAGTGAGAGGCGAATACAGGGTTGCTTTACCCGATGGTCGTACGCAAATCGTAACCTACTGGGCTGACTGGCAAAGTGGATTCCACGCCGACGTAAAATACGAAGGTGAAGCCCAATACCCAGCTGCAACACCAAACAACGCATATGGCGCACCAGCCGCAGGTAACGGTGGATACACCAATGGGGGATACGAAGCTGCAGCTACAAGCTCTGTAAACATCAAAGATTATTCCAGTGATGCCACTCCCTACAATACCAATGGAAACAGTGGATATAACAATAACAATGGTTATAACAACAACAATGGCTACAACTACAATGGCAACAACTACAATAATGGAAATAACTACGACAATAACTACAATAATGGCTATAATAATAACAACAATGGTTATAACCACAATGGTTATGCTAAAAGACATGCCAAAAGACAAACAAAGAATATGAAGCATTAGTTGAGTTAAGCTCGCTTTATATTGTGTCATCATATTTATGTCATCATCTATCGAAGTTGTTTTCGATCTTTTGTAAATATTTTATACCTTTTTTTGTACGCCAGTATTATATCTATAATGTAATCATTTTGTATATATATATAAAGCAATAAATGTATTGCATCAATGTTTGTCTTTACTAATGACCCAAAAATTGCTAATTTAATTTAGATATTTTATATAGTCAAAAGTCTAAAAAATTAGAGAACAAGTAAAACACAATAACTCTGGTAACATCTACAACAGAAACTTCTTGTTCTTCTTCCTTGGTGGCCAAAGGCCTTTGTTGGCGCCAAGTATTGCGCCATGGGTTGGTTTAAGTTGTCGATGTGACTTTGGTTACATAAGGTTATAACCTTTATTTTGTGTCATTGTTAGTTGAGAGTCTCAACTTAATACTATCAATAATATCTTTGATACTTATATATTAAAAAATAGTTATCCATGAATAGATAACAAAAATAACATAATAATAATAGAAAGAATCATAATCATAAAATTTACATAATTTAATACACATCATAAAATATAAATAAAATAAATAATATATAAAATACAGATAATATAAAAGAAAATTATACGAGAAGAAATACAAGAAAAAATATAAGAAAAATACACGAATAAAATAAGAAGAATGAAATAAGAAGAAAGATAATAAATTAAGAAAATATAAGAAGAAAGATATTCATGGATATGGAGGAAATAAGAAATTAAAAATATTTATTTAGATGAATTTTAAATTAAATTTATAAATTTCATATTAATAACAAATACTATATAAATAACAAAATAAAGGAATATAACTGTAAGTACAATCTCTTCTTTTATTAACCTGTGGTGCTTTGATACACCAGCCTTAATGGTCTCGGTTTCAATGTACCATTTTGACCAGCAACAAGTTTAAATGTACATGCGCTTCACGAATCCATCCAACCATAGACACCTGATTTTTCCAAATCCTGGATTATCCTTATTGTATTGTACAAATCACAAAATACCTCGCTAGAAGGTCAAAGCTTGCGATATTGTCCAAAAATACAGGTATATTTCTATACCCGGAATCCAATTTTGTCCCTCCTGGGTCAAACTCAGCTATGTTTTACACTTTTTCATCGAGCGATGCGCCACACACGAAAGACAAAATCGAACTACAACAGAAACGAATCCATTAAGGGAAACCAAATTGTAGGCGAATACAGAGTTGATTTACCTGATGGTGACCTACTGGACTGACTTGCAAACTAGATTTTATGCCAACGTTTAATACGATGAGCCCGATATCCAGCTGCTACACCAAACATATAAACCACAAGCTGTGACACCAAACAACGAATATGGCGCACGTACACCTAGTTACCTATAACTGCAATGGTAACACCTACAGCAATAGTTATTACTTTATAAAGGGTGTTTTAAGTTTGCATAAAAAATCTGTAATTATTATGAAAAATTGCTTATGACGTCAATACTATTTTAGACTGTTTAAAAAAAACACATACCAAATTTTGGACCACTTTTTAGAACAGTATTTCTCAAAGCTTACCTAAAACCCCCTCAAACGAAATTCTGGCTTTTTATTGCTGACACCCATCACTGTCTATTTAATAAAACTGTGTAAATTGGGATTTTCAGCCATTAAGGCTCATTAAAATTTCAAATTTTAAATTTGAACTGCGAATTTTTATAAGATAGGTCGCGGTGCAGACAACTTTGGAAACCACTGCTTTAGAGCCTTTGGGGTTTTATCTCACCAGTAAAACGCTTAAAAATATTCTTATCATATACAGGGTGTTATAAAATAAAGGAAAGGGTTAAAGGGGTGGAAGGCCACGCTGAGACAAGCTATTTTGGTCTTGACGACATCTTTTTTCACACCCCAAATGTTTGCAAATGTAAAAATATAACAGGTACTGAATTAATAAGTGGAAATTAAATTAAATTAGTTATTAATAGGTATAGTTTGTTAGTTATATTTTCGTAATTTTGTTTTAATAAATTTACAATTTTTTGTATTTTTAGTAGGTATGTTTTCTCGAGAAATATTCACTAGAAATACCGCTTGTGCTTGAAAATGAATCGGGTAATTTTTATTTAAGCTTGTTGTACAAATTCCACTCGTTCTTCGAACTGGAATTTTGACCAACTGACCTTTCATGAATATTATATGTAATTTGTAAGCCTTTGTGAGATTACTAGGTCTTCCAGATTTTGTCAAAAATACTTAGACATTTTGTTTGAATTTACCTTCATTACAGTAATGTCTTTAATAATTTATTTAATGCCTGTTCATTCAATGAAAATCAAAACTTTTAAAGTAGAGAAACAAACAGCTTGTGTTTATTTCTCTATAGCAGTGTGCATAGTACATAAATACACTACACTTCGTTTAATATTCCGATTGATTCTTCTCACCTGCACATCAGTATTTACATTACCTTTATTTTTATATTCTACATTTACCTTCTCCCCTAAATAATTTTCCTCACTAAGAACTCGATTTTATCCAATTACAACCTCATTTTGGCCACTAACTCCATGATTATCCCTATTTAATTTAAGAGGTACAATATTTAATTCACTGAAGTTTATCGACAAATTTCAAATTTTATTATAAAAATTCAAGAATTTCAGGTTTTATACCATTTATAATTTTTATTATTTGTTTTACTAAATTTAAAAAAATTATAAATGGTATAAAACCTGTAATTCTTGAATTTTTTTAATAAAATTTGAAATTTGTCGATAAACTTCAGTGAATTAAATATTGTACCACTTTAATTTGAATTATCTTAATTTGGAGGGGCAGGAGGCTGGGGGTTGCACTTAAAAACTAACTTTTTTTCCCAAACTTTAATTTAAATTCTGCTTGCGCAGAACTTCTATATAATGTCATTATAAACTAATATAAATTTGATGTGGGTCCCATGTCTAATAACTTAGATATGGGTGTGCCCAAAATCCACCAGTCGCCACTGGAAAAAACACCCATTTTGTAAAATCATTGGTCCAAAAGGTAATGTTTGGCCCATTACGTGGACCATAAGCATCGTCTATATTCTATAATAATTATAATAATAATATGTATTGTTTTAGGTAACGTTTTTCTTTTAATTTACCCTAACCTTGTTGAATAATAACTAAATACCTTTAAGTTAGCTGTAAATTAACCAATTAATTTAAAACACAAAAGAATCTTAAACAAATAAACAAAATCATTAAAACATCTTTTATATAACGCAAAACAAATAACGGAGACTCTTTTCTCATAGTTTTTGGTAAATTTATTTTATTGTGTTAACGCAACCAAACAATAGCATGTTAACTTTACGAAATATTGCAATTAGGATGAACAGCAACAATGCTTTCGTTTTTATGTTATTTACGGCTTTAATATGTATGACTTTTTTTATTAAAAAAGAAAATATGATTGCAATCTTTTGTAGTGTATATTGTTATATATTATACTATCACTTTTTTAAGATTTACTGAATTTTTATTAATAGTTATACAAGAAATCATATAAAAATTTTGATGTTTTGGTGTAATAATATTTATAGTATTGTATTAAATAATAAGTAACTACTCTATGCTTTTTAAATATACAATATTAAGTTTAAATATATTTTATTATATTTTTTTCTATGGCCTACAAAAATTTGATTGGCAAATAAAATAAATTTTATTGGAAAATTTTATTGGAAAAAGTATAAGATATAAGATTAAAAAATTTTAAAAAATAGCTAGTCTAGTCTAATCTGGAAAGTTGTATTTGGTTTATAGCCAGTAAATGGCCTATACACACTGTTATAAAAATCAGATTTGTTAATGAGTTTGTAGTTTGTTAATTTTATTTTGTAAAATTTTAACATATTTTTTTGTATAAAACCGCGGTTTGTAATATGCAATTTTGTTAATATCAAAGGTTACATATTATTTTGTAACAAATTATTTCGTTGAAAAAGTACACGTGATTTCAGGCACTCAATCAAAACATTTCCCACTGACAATACGCTTTAACAAGTTCAAGTAACTTGAGCGTCTGCTACTTATGTTTCTGCTTACTGTATTCTAATTCGTTACGTGTTCATAACAACTGTCCAGAGTGTTTATAATATATTACCAGCAGGGCCGGATTTAATCATGGGCACTTTGGGCAACTGCCCAGGGCGGCAAATTTTTGGGGCGGCAAATTTTGGTGGAAAGATTCATATTTTCCGAAACATTAAAATTTGGTTACGAAGATATCATTATAGTCTGAGAATATTAGCGAAAGCTAAAACAATCACCCATTTGTTAAATCCCAACTCCTCATATATCTAAATGTATGATTTTACAGGGCGATTTTTCTAGAAAAAAATTCATCAACTTTACTCAGTTTATCTCACACTATACATTGCGCAGTGGAAATTTGAATTTTGGCTCCGCCCGACACGGCGCCTCCCCCGTGGCTGCCATATTGTGTCGTACTTATAATAATTTTATCTAGTGTAGTGCTGCCAAATATTACATTACCGTGTATGTACTATGTGGTAATATGTAAACAGAACAGTCTGGAACAGTCTTTTTCTACTCCTATTACGGAATATAATACAATGTAATTATATAATACCACTTTTTAATGTGGAATTGCATATATTCCTTAAACTCTTACATAATGAAATATTCTATCATCGGGTGGCGGAATATGGTCTAAAATATCATTTTTCAACGTTGTTCAATCATTGTACAACTTCTTTACTACGTCAACACATCGGTGGGAAATTTTGAGGTCCACTGAGAAAACCAAATTAATAACATTAGCATCTTTGTCCACTACTAGGTGGTCTGCTCGTGATGACGCTGTCCAGGTTTTGAATCAATATTTCCAAGATATAATCGAGATTACTGTATTACTGTATGGTTAGTTTCCAACAATCATATTTTTATAAGATATTGTGTAAAAAATAAAAACATTGATGTAAACTGATGTTAAATTCGTTGTTTGATTTTTTTTCGACGAATTCGTAGCTTTGATAAAATGGGCGGCAAGATCATGACTGCCCAGGGGCGGCAAGAATGGTAAATCCGGCCCTGATTACC